ATGTTATATTAACCAATCCAATCTTTTGCCCAAACAGTTCCATAGTGCGGCTTTAAACAAAACATTTAGTTACTTGTTCTCATAATGGCAAAGACTAGCAGTGTAATTATTTGTACCTACATCTTTTACATCTTCGTAGATTGTGGAACAGTTGGGGCCCCGGGCAGTCGCGCTCAGATAAAACAAATGGGACTAACCCTGGCAGAAGGGAGGGAGATAAGACTCTGGTGTTTGTTGTACAAGTAATTGGCTCCACAGTATTAAGGCGCATAGTTTGTTGCCATTAGTCGTCCTGTATATTTTCTTTAGCCTGCGCCGATTACAGATAGGCGAACTGTTCCACCCTCTGTCCGCCATATGAGTTACGACTTTGAGAGAGGAATTGGCCTCTGGAATGCCGGGTCCCGCAGTTAACCCCCGGCGTGCTGGGCGTTGCGGGCATAGCCGTGCGTCCTGACCATACTACACATACATACATGCCCGGGCAGAGGCGGTGTGGAAACTCAATGACACAAGTGTTTAGCAGACTCCCCCGGCCTCCGTTTCCCACAATCCCCCTCTCTCCCCCCTGGCCCCTTCGGAGATCTCAAGGTCGCGAAAGGTCGGCGACGTAGAGGCATGGCTTGGGAAGAGGGGAAGTCACTGTAGCAGCATTAGAGGAGCTGACAGTTTTGCATAAAAGTTACGAGCTAATGAAACTCGGAGAAGGTTGTATTTCCCATCGGCACAATTAGGGGATGCTAATGCTGTCTCATCACCGAGCTTGTGCGGGAACTTTTTGGAATACTGGTGAAAATCTCATATATTTTTAAAAATTTGCTTGTGAGTGTTACCCTGTAAAAATGCTAACTCTGAATTTCCAGTATTTAGTCTGTTGTGCATAGAGATGGTGCAATATTGTTTTGTTTTTGTTTTTTTTAGTAGATATGCATATCCAAAAGTTGACTTATGGATTCTTGTGAGCTTTAAGCCATGTTAGAATGTTGATACTTCATCTAAAACACACCTGGAGTTGTGTTTTGTTTCTTTCACACATGTTTGAGTAACTCTTTGTTATTAGTTTGTCTACATCTCCACCTTCTGATGTCACGAAACTGTAGTTTTCACATTAACAGCTACCTTTTACCTTTGTTTTAGTAGTGACTGGCAATTCCAGGTCTGAAATGATTCTAATGAAGGTGTATGGAGTATAAAAACACAGTGGAGTGCTTCCTGTTTTGTGACATAACACCAATGAAGCAATGGAACAATCAGCCTCTTGATCCGCTTGATCCGTGTCCTGTCTGCATCTAATTACCGTATTTTTTGGACTATAAGGCGCACTTAAAATCCTTTAACAGTGTGCCTTATCATCTGGAAGCCAGGCTGCACCACCTAGTGCCTCCGCTCAATTTAATTTCTCTCCAGTGACTAGGTCAGGAATCGGAATGCACTAGACGGTTTGCAAAAATGCCGGAAATGCAAGTCCAATCAGTGAAGAGCCATACATTCTGTGTTGGCAACGATTCCCGAGATCAAGGATTTAAAGCTGGAACAAAGAGAATGTTTGGTGAATTTTATCAAGGGGAAAGATGTTATTGCCCTTCTTCCTACGGGATTTAAGAAAAGCTTAATATACCACTTTAGACCCGTTAGCGGTGCATTACATACGTCACAACCAAATAGCAACGATTAGTTAAATGAAAAAAAGTACCCACCTACCGTTGAGCAAAGGTATTCTAACACTGCAAGGTTTCTGCGAAGTGAAACCGGCTAATGAATCAGGCTAATAATCAGGTGCGCCTTATGTATTAGTTCAGGCTGTGCTTACTGACCTCAAACCGATTTTATACGGTATCCGCACTCAAAATCTGTCAAAATGTACATCTTTGGTCAATTGTGAAGCCGCACCACTTGGATTGTCGGAGTTTTTTCACTTGCAAATGAGCCATGTGGTTTTAATCTCTGTAAAACTAAATGTGCACAAAGCTGCATTAAACATAAAAAAAAGAACTTAAATTATACACCGACGTTCACATTCATAATACACATTCACAAAGACAGAGAGGCAACACTGGATGAGTTACGCCATAATCTGCCAATGGATCGTGGACGCCTGGGCTAAAGGATCAGTCTCAAGTGTTGTCCGTTTGTTTTGCTTTAATGTGCCTTATAATCCGGTGCGCCATAGTCAGAAAAATACGGTACTAAATGTTCTACTGTGAGAATGTCAGGAAGTGAGTGGTTAGCATGCTAGTTGTTATTCGCATTAAGTTGTGAAAAGTGCTTATAAACTTACCATGGTGAATAGGATGCCCAGAAAGCATAAGCAATTCTTCTAGGTCTTTAAAATGAACTAGTTCTGTTTTTTTTACTTTTTTAAGACAGTAAAAATCTGATACAGCGCCTTTAAAACCATTTATCAAATTATGGTTTTGTTAAATTGACCAAAAATAAACAAAAATTTCCCACTTGATCATTTGGATTTTCATCAGACTCGAGGTTACCAATGTCCTTGTACCAACTGGGCCAAAAATTTGTATCTTTTTCAGTTTCTTAAAATTTAAAGCGTCTACAACTGGCAAGTCAGGCCGCAATCTGGGCTGTGAAAAGAATCCTGCACCAGATGAATTCTTAAAAAAAAAAGAAAAAAAAAGAAAGAATTTGGTATCAATCCACATGGATACACTTTCAGAACCAAATTTTGACTGTTTTGGATATGAGTAATCTATATCACGCCAATATGAAAAAAAATATGGCTGTAGTGTATTTTGCATATTTTTCATTTTATTTTACAACTTTTTTAGATTTTATTTGTTGAATTTGTTTTATTTTCTTTCAGAAGCAAGAAAATGCTGTTTGTGTTTTATCTTATCTTACAATTTTTCGTCCCAGAATGATAAGAACGCCTTTCAGCTTTGAATCTGCTTTTCCCCTTATCCTCATTTTATTTTCTTTAAATAACTACTACATTTTATTTTTTTGAAACTTTCCATTTGTTAAGTTGCATTGTGTAACTTTTCTGGTGGAAGGTCTGTGAAATGTTTTTCCTCATGGAGATGTTATTTTTTGTCTAGAATGTTTCAAAGTATGGTATTAAACTCTTCTATCTGCATGGAGACCAAACCAGACCAAGTTACAGGTCAGATCTGTGGAGAGGCGACCCCGCTTAAAGTCACAATGCCTGTTTTTCTAGGCATTTTTCAGCTATAAAACCACCTGTAATTGAACAAATGTAAGGTAGAGCTGTTTAATATCACACTGTGGAACATTCTAGACAGAGCAATGACATATCCATAGAAACAAGCAGGTGATGAAACACCAACCAAAAAGTTACACCTTTAAGTAACTACTACAGTTTATTTTTTGAAACTTTCTATTTGTTGAAGTAAGTGAATATTTCCTTCGCTCTCAAGGTTTAAATAATATACATAATTTAACTTTTTTTTCTTATTGTAATGTGTAATTCCTCTGTTTTTACATATGTCTTTGTTGTTCATTTTTCACATCACATCACATTATTGCTCCTGTGACGGGGTTCAGGGTCGAGTCGTCCGTTGAACAGAATTGTACGACCCTGACGACGCAGATTATATTCTTTGTAAACCACCACACTTTCTTTACATTTGAATTTTGCATTTATTTGTTTGGAGGATAAGCCCCTTGAGATGTCTCTCCATCTCGTTTTCGAGGGCGGTCCTCATAGTTACAACAACAAAAGACAGGCACAGTAGGGCACACAGTAGGATACATGAATTCAAATAAACATCAAAACAACAAAACATACATATCAGATAAACTGCACGGTCCTTACACTGAACAAAAAAATAATTGGTCGTCCACTGTTCTATGAAAACCCGGCACTCTCTGTCAACTTTTTGTACTTTAACACTCACCATAACTACACTACAGTTTGATTTTGAGCTTGCCAGGTGACAAAAATTTGGAAGCTAATTTGCAAATTCGACAGCAAAGTTAGGGTTAGAGGGTGTGGAGTTGGCACACGGGCCTTAGTTTGATGACCCCTGGTTTAAACCAACTGGATTTCAATATTGAATCTGAATCTGTGTATCATTTGCTCATTCATTTTTCAATATAAAATCAAAAATAAGAAAACGAAAAAACAAGTATTTTATTCATTATTTGTCTCCAAAACCAAAATGAAAAAAAAAACAAAACACAGATAACGATTCGTTTTTTCAAGTTTTCGATTTTGTGTTTAAATGAATAATGGAAAAAACGGATAACGGCCGTTTCCGTGACTTAAACCGTGATGCTTAACTTTTGCACCGCATACGGACTGAACCAGGACTAAAACAGGACTATACCAGGACTAAAACAGGACTAAGCCAGGACTAAAACAGGACTAAAGCAGGACTAAACTAGTTTTAGTCCTGGTTTCTGTCTCGGTCTGGTCTCAGTCTCAGTCCCTGTTTGGTCCTGGTCTCAGTCCTGGTCCCAGTCCTTGCCCTGTTCCCGGTCTAAGTTGTGGTCTCAGTCCCAGTCTGGTTCTGGTCTGGTCCCGGACCTGGTTTAGTCCTTGTTTTAGTCCTGGAAACAGCCATTATCCGTTTTTTTCCATTAACCATTTAAACACAAAATCAAAAACTGAAAAAACAAACCGTTATCCGTTTTTTTCATTTTACTTTTGGAGCCAAATAATGAAGAAAACAGTTTTATATTGAAAAACGAATGAACGAATGACACATGGATTAATCTGGCAACCCAAACGAGACGCTCATGTGAGGCTCATTCTGCTTCCTGATTGGATAATTGCCTTGAACCAAAACACCAAATTACAACATAAACAACTGAACCATCATGTCCAGTGTTTATGTGATCAAGAATAAATCAGCGTTACAATTGTTACCAGGAAAAGCTACAGTATGTTTGATTTGATGATTTGAACATGTATTTATGAAGACGGTTTGAAAATGAAAATGTTACATACAGTTCCTTTTTAATTATCCTTTTATTTTGTTTTGTTTTATTTCTAACGAGTCGGTGTTTTTGTTCCGCAGACATGTTGTGGACTGAGAGCTGAGGTCTTCATCGGAGTGAAAAAGACGAGAAACATGCCCTCTCCAACAGCACACGTCTGAAGTCTGTAAGTACCACGGAACGGAGGAGACGAGAGGAGAGGAGAGGAGGAAAGAAGGGAGAGGGGGAGGAGAGGATGGAATAAGGAAAGGAGGAGGAAGAGGACAAAAGGGAGAGGAGAAAGAAAACAAGGTGGAGAGAAGCAAAGGAGGAGGAAGAAGATAAGCAGAGAAAAGAAGGGGAGATGGAGGAGAAGGGAGGAAAGGAGGAAAGAAATAAAGGAGAGAGAACAAGGAAAGAAAAGGAAAGAGGAGGACAGAAAAGAAAGAAGTAAAGGAGGTGGAAGAGGACAAAAGGGAGTGGAGAAAGAAAAGAAGGTGGAGAGAAGCAAAGGGGGAGGAAGAAGAGGAGCAGAGAAAAGAAGGGAAGACGGAGGAGAGAGGAGGAAAGAAATAAAGGAGAGAGAAGAAGGAAAGAAGAGGAAGGAGGAGGACAGAAAAGAAAGAAGTAAAGGTGGAGGAAGAGGACAAAAGGGAGTGAAGAATAAAGAAGGTGGAGAGAAGGGAAGGAGGAAGAAGAACAAAAGAAATGTAGCAGAGAAGAAACAAGAGAAGGAGAGGAGGAAAGAAAGACAAGGGAAAGGGAAGGAGGAGGAGAGAGGAAAAAAGAGGAGGAGAGGGGGAGAAGAGGAGGAAAAAAATAAAGGAGAGAAAGGAAGAAAGAAAGAAAAGGACAAGCGAGGAAAGGGGAGGACAGAAAAGAAAGAAAGGAGGAGGATGAGAGGAAGAAAGAGAAGAGAATGGAGTGAGGAGGAAAAGGAGAGAGGAGAGGAAAGGAGAGAAAATAAGGGAAGAGAGGGAGAATAAGAGAAAAGAGAGAACAGAAAGTAGAGGCTGAGAAGAAGAGGAGAGAGAGAGTACAAAAGGGATGCACTGATACTGATACTAGTATTGAATATTTGCGCTGATACAAAAAATCTTGCTGGATCGAGTATCGGTTCCGTGATATCGGTTGAGCCAATATCCCGTTTGACCTTTAATTAGTTTTAATAAGAAGAGCTTTATTTACAGACTGTGCCTGAACGTCTCATAAGGTTTGAACTTTTCTTCATATGAACTTCTTCAGTTGTCATTTGAAAGATAAATAACAGTTACATAACACAAGTGGATCTCTTGTGTAAGAAGTTCACTTTGTTTTTGAAGCGACATTTACTGTCCCTACGCTGGTATGGGTTTATATCAGTTAATATAATGTATGGTAGAGCATTGTTTCCCAAAGACTGGGTCATGATCCTCAGGTGGATCGCAAGAGATTATTATTTTTTGGTCGCCTTGTCACGATCTGCATGTAGGTCTGAGATATACATATACATACATCTCCACGCACTCCCCGCTCTTCACTTTTTCACCAGCGCCGCCTTGCCTAACACATTTTCTGTGGGAAACACTGATTACTGTTTTTCCTTGTTTAAAACTTGAGTACTGTATTTTTTGGACAATAAAACACTCTTAATATTCTGGAAAATCGACAGTGCGCCTTATAATCCGGTGCTCCAAATGTATTAATCCTGGTTGTGCTTTCTGACCTCAAACTGATTTTCACACATATTCCACTGAGTCGTCTCCTTTAGTCCGACAGAAGCCTGATCCACATCAGTGCACAAGGAGTGAGATATTATAGTTTATGCAAATGAGCCATGTGGTTTTAAGTTTTGTTTCTTTAAAACATAAACAAATGTGCGCAAAGCTGCATTAAACACATTATTACTCAGTGTATATTTGAGTCCTTCTCATAGGAAATAAAAAAGTCTCAAGTCTCAAGTGTCGTCCGTTTGTTTCGCCTTATAACCCGTTGCGCCTTACGTATGAAAATAGATGAGAGAATTCAACATTACTGATATTGCGCCTTATAGTCTGAAAAATACGGTAATACTAATAGTTCAGAGAGACACGATCACTCAGTGAACAATAAAATATCCTCATTAATGTTCAATAACGGTCACGAATTTATTTTGTGAATTACGAATAATGTCTATTGATGATTTGTGACTTTTAAAACATGCGTCTCTAGAAAAAAATTTGGGAAACACTGTCGTATTGGAACTGAAAAAGCCGGATTGGAGCATCTCTAGGAAGAAAGAAGGTAAAGAGGACAAGGAGAAGAGAAAAGCGAGGCATGAAGAAGGAGAAGGAGGAGAAAAGAAAGAAGAAAGAAAGGGAGGGAGAGTAGTAGCAGGAGAGATGGAGGACAGGAGAAAAGAAGGAAACAGGACGAGAACGAGAGGAGACAGAAAAAAAGAAGAGAGTAGAAGAGGAATAAGGGAAAGCCGAGAGAGAACGGAAAGAACGACGAGGAGGGGGAGGAGAAAGGCCCGCTGGCACGAGACAGGAGAGCGTGAACCCCGACAGCTGAACATGCGAGCGCCCGAGTTGGTGCATGCTCTTCGGACCGGTGGGGAGGGGGAGGAGGGTCGGTGAGGAGGAGGAGGGGGGGAGGGGGAGGAGGGGGCGTACGGTGAAACAAAAGGCATGTGGACAGCTGTCTCCTCTCTGCCACCAGCTCCTGATCCATAGGGACGTTTTCTACGCTCACGTGCAGAGGAGCAGAGCGCTGTGGAAGAACTGATGAACTGATCAAACTATTCTCATTTTATGCAAAGCTTCAAATTACATCATAATTTCTATAGTTCCTGTGTTGATATTAGTGCTATCGATCGATTAAAATGTTTAATTTCAATTAATCTCATGAATTTCATAGTTAACTTGCGATTAATCACACATAAATCTCACATTTTTGTCCCTTGAATAATCATTTTAATACTCTTATCAACTAGGGGTGTAACGATATCGAAGTCTCACGATACGATATCGTCACAGTAGGAACCTCGCGGTGTGATATTTATTGTGATATTATGGTAAGGCTTGGCGGGGGCTCAAGATTAGGGATGTAACAATATCCAAATCTCTCGGTACGATATTTTCACGATATGCATTTCACAGAACAATATTTAATGCGATGTTTTGTGGAGACTAACAAAACTGTCAGTATGCTACTTTTTCTTCTTAAAATGCATCAGCAAGACTTAGTCTAAAGAGCTAAGACTTTAAAGTGCTTAGAACTGTTATTTCTTCATGTAGTTTACATTGAAATGGAACAAAGGATCATGGTCTATGTAGTTCCCTCTGTCTTTTTTTAGCTCTTGCTGCACCATAACTCTTCATTTAAGCAAAGAGACTTGTAATTCGATATATTGTGATGGTCCACGATATTATTGTGAGAACTTTGATGATATAATATCACAATATTTTGGTTATTGTTACATCCCTATTATCAAAATGTTTAATTGCAATTGTGTCTGCGACCGTGTTTGTCCACCCCATCGGCTGATGTACTTAGGGAGATGACGTCATCATGCGGCGTTGTTTGTTTACATGTCGTGCAGCAGAATTTAAGCTTTTAGTAGAGAAAATAAGTCCAGCGACAGAAATACATGAGACAGATATGAGTCCTGCTGTGATACGCGCTCCTGTGAGTTTGTGGATATAACAACAGCTCGTAACAGTGAGAACAGCCAGAAGAAAGCTTATAAAACTTCTGTATCAGTCACAGTCCTTATCAAAGGTCAGCACGGATTCGCCGTATATGTTGGAGCAGAGTTTGTAGTTCGTAAGAATAACATCGGTGCACCTGACAGGGTTAGGGTTAAAATAGTTTTGCGTTAACTTGTTAATAACGTGATAGTTTTGACAGCTCTAGTTGATATGTTCTCTTGGATTAGACTTGGGGTACAGTGACAGTATATTAAGGCTGGTTATATTTAATTTTTTACAATACTACAACTTAAATGACATGTAGTTTTCTGTACCTGTACTGGAACTATACTTTTTCAGTACCTTGTCTTGTATTATTCACTACATAACATGACAAAAAAGTGAATACGTTTACATAAATACTATTCCTTGCTTAGATCTTGCCTAGAAACTTTCAGTAGTGATTGCCTATAACCTTCCAGGCATCTTAAAGGCACAATGTGTAACTTTCTGGTTGGGGCATGTCACCTGCATGGAAATATGGTCAAAATCATGTCTAGGAACATTCATGAAGATAGATAAGTTTTATGCCATACTGTGAAACGTTGTAGCTTAAAGGGACAACATTTCCATGGCAACAAGCATACGCAGGCTCTTCTCCGAGCAAATTTAGAGTCAGGTTTGTGGAGATGCAAGCCTGCTCAGAGTAAGGGGTAAATGTTTTTCAGTGCAATAAACACACACTTTGATTTTGGTCAAATTTTTGGCAAAAAAATTACATCCTGTGTCTTTGTGTTGCTTTAAAATGTTTAGATTTTTGTAAAACCTTTGATTTTGCTAGTATTGCAGTGGTACATTTTAAAGGTTACCAGCCCAAGACTCTCATATTTTTATGTTAGATTTCAGATGACATAATAACATAACACCATATATAACATTGCATTTGAATTAAAAATTGTAATGCCGAAACTTTATTTGGAGTAGGGATGGGCATGACTAGTCGATTAATTGATAATTGATCATTAAGAATTTCATCGATTACGTTCATTTTAATCGACAAACCGAATGCAGGTTGTTGTGTGTAGCGTGACCAAACAGGGGTCTGTACATGAAGCTCTCTGCACTCAGAAGGAGCGAGACACAAACAGTCGGTCAGTCTGCAACGTACCGAAGCGCAAATGCGTATTTACGCTTTCCGTTGCGTTCGGGACAAGTGGGAGTCCTTGTGCACAGTGTACAAAGCAGCACATATGTTTCGGTGTCCAGTGGGAAAAAGCTTTGCCAGGTGAGAGTCGCGCAATGTCGATGACGAGTCCCCACCTCCCACCCCCCGTACGGTGTCCTGGTTTTGACAAACGCAAATATGGTCACACTAACCTGTATTCCACTGAATCATGTCTTTGAATCCAACAGAAATTGACCGCATCAGCGACACAAGAGCTGTAGTTTTATCTTCGCTTAGTTTACGCAAATTAGCGATGCGGTTTTAATTTTCGTTTCTGTGAGAGTTGCGCAAAACTGAATTAAACACATTATA